ATATGGTATTAACAACCTCAGCTGCTGAAAACCGTCATGAATAGCCAAAATAGATGGAAAAATGGCATCAGCAGGCAATATTTAAACATAAAACTCTAATATTATTGCGTTTAGTCATGAAGCGGACATTTTTGTTCACTTGCCTAGCAACTATCGTCTAAGCAACAGATGAGACAGATAATGGTACACCTCTATTGATGACATGAGGAATTTGACGTGGTATCATTGTGATACAATCCAATATGGGGCAAACGCTGACGCATAGAGTGCATCCAGTGCAATCTGCGTTGATACGAGGAAGATGCGTTTCTGGATCGAAAACAATGGCTTGGTAACCGCTATCATTACAAGTCATGTAACATTTACCGCAATTTATACACATTTCCTCGTCAATGATAGCTACATATTGTTGAGTGTTATCCAAGTCACCATATGCACCTATCTTTGATAATGCTCTGCCAATCATTTCCTAAAATAAAAACAAAAGAAACAAGTCATTGCCAATGACATAATCCCTGTTTGTATTAGAGATACAAATATATATATGGCTGAATGTGTGAAGTTTAAACTTGATTGGTCCAGGGATGCCTGAGATACGGCTTTATGGAACTGCATTGTTTAAACAAGATGACCGCCAGTCAGCCATTTTGGATTCCATAGTGACAAAAATGCATTGTGTGTTTGTCCGATATGTCTGATGTGTGTGTAAAGTTTGAACTTGATTTGTCTAGTCACGTTGAATATATGTTTCAGAGAACTACATTCTTTTAAACAAAATGGCCACCATTTCGAACCCAATTCAAAACAGCAGCCTGTCGGCTGAGATAGCTCCGCTGTTAGCAATGCACATTTCAATTAAAGAACAGAATATATCATTAGAAAATGAACAATATGTATAGTATCAAAGCAATGGGACTTGCTGTTTTCAACAAAACGTCAAAAATATCACTTTTCACCAAAAATGACAAAAATAATCATCAAAAATAGATAATTGAAAATATCACCACGAAATTAACAAATCTGAAAGAAGTCCACATGTAGTACCTATATATGTAATATCAAAGCAATTGGACTTGCAGTTTTTAACAAGAAGTCAAAAAACATCACTTTTTACCAAAAATGACAAAAATATTCACCAAAATTAGAGAATTGAAGATAACAACATGAAATGAACAAACCTAAGAGAGGTCTACCCATAGTACATATACACAATGTATCAAAGCATTCAGGCCTGTAGTTTTCAAGAAGAAGTAAAACATTGACACGGACGACGACGGACAATCACTCATATGACAGCAGAGCTAAAAAATAACATGGAGTGTACCAAGGTTTGATTATGTTCAATTTATGTAGCAAGTTTAAACAGATCTGGTTCTGGTGAAAATGTATGATTTTAATGCATTTTTATTTTTACAATGGCTGCCAATCTGCCAACTTGAATCGGAATGGGGAACAAAAGCATATGCATATGTCTGATTCATGTGTAAAATTTGAACTTGATCGGTCCAGACATATCAGATATATGATCTGGAACTGCGTTCTTTGAAACAAAATGGCCACCAGTCAGCCATTTTGAACCAAGTCTGAAAGTTCAATGTTACATCAAAGGACAATAAATTGATATATTCTCTATATATTACCTTTACAGTGGGAATAGACTTCTTTGGCTGGTAAGGAGGTCGTTGTGGTGAAGGTTTCTGATCTTCTGCCAAGAGATCAATCGTTGCCTTGTTTGCTGCAACGATTTCAGCACGTTTTTCACGATATGGACCAAAGTTAGGAATTCCCTGAAATTTGATATCAATAAAATTATTTATTCACAACAAAACACATAATTAGGTCTATACGAGTATTATTAATACAAATACTATAATTGTATCTAATTATGTTTGCAAGTGCTTTTTGCTGTATTGCATTTATTTATTGATAACTAGGAATGGCATTACTAGGCATGACATCATTACACAGAAATAGCATCATTGTAGAAATGACATCATTATATAGAAATTACCACACTATATGGAAATGACATCACAATACAGTAAAAAGTGGAAAATGCTCTTAGTAATTGCATCACTCTGCTGCAAACTGCTGGGTGGTTTATCACTCTGACTTACAACACATGCAGCGATTGTTGGACTTTGTTTCATAACCAATATTGATAAAAATTGAATATGGCTGATAATAACATAAGCTTTTGCAAAGTTTTGAATTGTGGGTAGAAAAGTGCCACCAAAAGCTGACAAGCTGTAAAGTCTGTTATACAACACCAAAATCACCATTCACTTGACCAATCTGGAGGGATTATTGACATGATATAATGCCTTATGAATTGACATTATAACATGACAATTTCTTGTTCAAACTCACCTTCCCTATTATTTCATTAAGTTTAGGGACCGGTTTTCCCAACTGATGTCGCAATGTTGGCGGACTCTGCCCATCCCAATCACTTAACTCATCAATACTTTTCAAATACATCAATGTTTTTAGACCTGTTATGTAGTCTTCAATGACTGTAAAATCTTGGTTTTGTACAGCACTTCCAACCTAAAAAAACATAGTACTTTGGTTAGTGATCTTTTATGAACCAGACACCAGACATCCAACAGAGAAGGCTGGTTTATTTGCAAAAAGAAATAATTTTATGAAATCAATGACCTATTTAAATGTGTTGGTGTGTTAAATAGAGTGAATAATTATTTACAAGGACATGTAGGAGAAAAGAACATGGGTTGGATTTTTCACCTGAAGAAGCGATGCTCCAGATTGAAGGAACTGCAATCCTGCATCAGCAGAGTCAATACCACCTGTTGCCAAGATAGGAAACCCTGGCAACGCACGACCAATAGCAGACACTGCTCGCAATGCTATAGGTCTGATAGCATTTCCAGACACCCCGCCGTATGTTGTTAGTTTCTCTTTCCCAACTGCTGGCCACGCTGTACCATTAGATTTTAGACCCATTAAACCAGACACAGTATTGGTAGCAGTTACACCATCAGCTTTCCCTTAAATATAAAAATATGACATGACAGAGTGATGTCATGTTGAATACAAGTTATTGACAGAACATTGTGACTAGTCGTGCAGGTCTCATGCAACTAATCAACTACCGGTAATGACCGTTCATAGCCCTCAATTTAAATGCCTTGCAAGAACCAATGAAATTTTTTAAATATTTTTTTTCTCAGGTGCTCCTTGTTTGAAGGCGTGATCACCTGGGTCAAAGGTGAGACCAACATGTGTTCTTTCATTTACTACTTGGCGGATGTGTACATGTGGGTTTATTTTGTGTGTATTTGGATGTTATAATCTTCGTGTTTTTCCAGTGATTTCTCTTGGTGCAATCTAAATACAGAAGGTGTGTCTTGTTTACCTGAGATTTACAAGAGTTTGAGCTGGCCAACATGTTAGTTTTTTTCATGTGGTTGATTACTGGCATGTTGATTTCCCATTTTTGAGCCATGTTTTCAACTTTATTCATCATTTTTATTTAGCAATCTCGTCATATGTTAACATTGTGGTCTATGGAGTTTCAATTAGTGGTATGAGACCTGCAAAAGCTTATCTGCAACCACATAATAATACTGTAGTGTAGTGATACATCTTTATAAATTGAAATCCCTTTATTTTGAAAATCTAATTTATAAATATTTCAAAACTGGTTTAAAATTGAATTCTTTTAATTCTTGCTTTAACTATTTACACATAATGCAGCACAGAAATAATCAACACCAAAAAAATGGAGTGTGTTGCAAAACGATTTCATAAATACGTGCACTGCAATCGTTTACTGATAACCCAATGACATTGCATTGACTGAAACATTTCCTTTGTAAATGTGGATATAAACATCAGCATGTTGAAAGGGGTTCAGGTAAGGCATGCAAGTTGTTGAAAGGTCAATTGTTTTGTGTATGATCCAACCTCATCTGAAGCTCTCCACTTCTAATTGCATCTAAATTATTTGGGAAACAATTTTCTGGCGTAACTTGGCTGACACATTCCTAATTTTCAGCAAATTTGCTTATGGCTCTAAAGCTCCATCAGTGGTCACTTTGTCATGCAGGTAAACGTTTCTCTTAACCTACCAATGCCAGATCAAATCAAGGCAAATTTTCAGTTCCATCCCAAATAATAATTTTTTAATTCCCACACAAGAAAAAAATAATTTGTCATTTGCATGTTATAATTGAGTTTATTAATTATCAATAAGCTTTTACAATACCTTCATAAGCAGCCTTTGCGATCACTACAATATCAGTGACATTAGGAGTCAGTTTAGCAAAGAATGGAATCTTGACGGCAGCTCGAACCCATCTGCAGATATTACGAACCAGTTCAGCATCTTGTCCACATGCTAATCCCATACCTCGTTCTCCCATTCCATGTGGACAGGAGAGGTTTAATTCCAAGGCATCAGCTCCTGAATCCTAATACAATTATAACAATCAATTGAATCGCGGTGTAAATCATTTTCATCGTCATATCAATGTGAAAACACAAACCTTGATATTCCCGAAATAAGTATAAGAATTTACACCTATTTTACACCTGGAATCGACCATATTTAAAATTAGACCAGTCAAAACAAAAAATTACTTGTTCATCAGACCAGCTAGATTCTACTATGTGAAAATTTTTTATTTTATACTTTTATGCCAAAAAAATCCTGACTGTTGCCACAAGATTCTGTCACATGACAGAGTGTTGTCTGTGCGTCTTTCCAACCATAGCAATTGAACACACATGATTGGCTGGTACAACTTTTGCAATATTTTCTTTGAAGGTTATGCATTTTAATTTAATTGACATGCAAGATCAGTATAAGCATTTATATACACCGTGTTTTTGGTTTAAAGTTTGTAAAATTATGGTAGTGCAAGTCTTAGAAATGATTTCAGACATTCACAAGATTGAATTTCACTTTAAATGATGAACTAGTCATGATTTTTAAATTACGCATACCTCGGCCATCTTGGCCAACTTTGTCCAGTCTTCTTTGTTGTAACTACACATTATACTGGAGATGATGATTTTATCTTTGAAGTCAGCTTTGAGTTCGGTAACAGTTTGGCACCAATATGCGGCTGTCTTTTCACTAATCAACTCAATGTTTAAGAAAGAGCCTTGTCCAGGGCCGTAGACATGACCTGATGTGGTACCACGAACTATACGAGGAGAAACATTAGTCACAATGTCCTGAAATGTAATACAATCAAATTAAAAACAAATCAGCTAGCGTCTCTTGAATCACAATATAATCTTGATCCAATGAATTTGAATATCAGTCACACTCTCTGAGGTTCCTTTTAACTCAATGTATGAACATCAAGCTTGAAGACATGTGATAATTAATCTTGTGGTACCTTTCCCATTTATGAAATGATCCATCACCACAACCCTGACTAATCTGCATAATTAATTAAGATACAGTAATTTGTGTTTAATAATAACAAAAATCTGTTCAGTGGTTGATTTTAATTCCCCCTTGACAAATTTTACACTAAAAGGGATATAAAGAACTGTGTGATTATCTGTAAAATCAAACTGTCGAGAAAAGTTTTTGTTTTAAAATATTGAATATATTTGACATATGATGTGTGAACTGTCAACCCATAATGAAATAAACACACTCTGCGGATATGTATAGAGCACAGACTGTGTGTGCTTGAGTTCATTATGAGTTGGCCATGACCTTATTAATATTATTAATATCAGTGAATTTAGCATATCAAATTTAATACTTTTATGTTTATAGAGATTTAAAAAAACAGAATAACTGTCAAATTGAAAACAAAATTGAGTATTGGATGAAAAAAACTGCGTTGAAATGTCTCCAATCACCAACATTTGTGAATATTTCAACTGAGAAAGTATCACAATGTTTTTACTTACTTTGTCAAGTGAAAATGTTTTTGTCAATGCAAATGACCAACCAGCTTCAAATCCACGTCTAATCATGGCGGACGTTGTTGTTGGAGGAGCGCTGGCCAATCCAAATGGGTTGCTGAATTTCAACCCACATACTTCAACGCTGATATCTACAGAGTCTATTGGTGTATAAAACTTTGGTAGCTGTGGTTTGCTCGGTACTGAGGCACTGTGTAATTTCTGTGAAATAATAACACAAGTATAAGATATATCAACTTGGAATATATTAAGACAAAACTCATTTCTAAAATACTGATACAGAACATACTGTATGAAAAAAACATAGTTAAACAATCATAACCTTGTCTTCTGTTTTAGCAGTATAGTAAAAAGAAATGTTAGCATATTATTGGTGGATTGACAATGTATACTATCCCCCCACAGCCTGTCTTCCGTGATCACAGGCCATTTAAAGTACTGTGGAATACTTTATTTTCGCTGTAATTAATTTTCGCTGAAAAAGCTTTTTGGGCGTTTTGTATGGAGTTCAATGTGAAATGTAGGAAAAAATGTATATTCGCTGGATTTTATTTTACTGAACCAATCCTTCAGCGAAAATAGCGAAAATTAATTCTCAGCAAAAATAGCGAAAATTAATTCTAAGCGAAAATAAAGTATTTTACAGTAACACTGTCCTCAAAACTGTACCATTGTATAGAGAGGGGTTACACAACACTAAATGGTTATTTATTGATAGTGGCCAGTTTTTATCTGATCTGTTGAAAGTTACACATTTACAGGCAATTTATAAATTGTCATAATTGAAGGTTTTATGACAATAAATTAATATAGTTAAGACAATGAGAAATATTTAAGTTTTAAACTGTGTAAAAACCATAGTGTGAACAATGCTAGTGAAGACCACATAATAACGGAACAATGAAAGTACAGTAGAATTTACAAGTGCAGTTCTGATAACAGTGTTGCTTCAAGCCTACTGGGAATATTATTGTCATAGCAACAGTTGATTACAGGCGATGAGTTCATAAGGCTGTTCAACCATATACTACTTTAGGGTCAGTATGTACTTAATTTTATCCTAGCATCATGACAGATGCATCCATTATTTCAGAAACAAGAGCATTTTTTATGATATTTAGTGTACATTTCATTTAATTACATCAATATTGAGGAATGTTTGTACAAAGCATGCATACCTGTAGATATTGATGTATGTACCATGCTGCTTGTTTGCCATCATTTACAGATTCTACCGTTGTCTGGGCAACACCAGCTAAGTCACCACCACAGAACACCCACTCTTCACTGGTCTGCATCGTGTCATGGTTAACATCAGGTAAACCCCATTTATTAAATTTAATTGGAGACATTGCAGACTTCACTGTAAAATTATAAATATTGCACAATTAGAACTGACACTGAAATTGTGACCCCCCATAGAGGATCCCTATATCATCTTTTGATTCAATCTTATACTCCCATAGAATATCTTGCATACAGTCTATGGTTTAATCATAGCACCCATAGAACATCTTATATACAGTGTTGTACAATCATATACTCCCATAGAATATCTTATATAGTGTGTGGTTCAATCATATACTCCCATAGAATATCTTATATAGTGTGTGGTTCAATCATATACTCTCATAGAATATCTTATATACAGTGTTGTACAATCATATACTCCCATAGAATATCTTATATAGTGTGTGGTTCAATCATATACTCTCATAGAATATCTTATATACAGTGTTGTACAATCATATACTCTCATAGAATATCTTATATACAGTGTTGTACAATCATATACTCTCATAGAATATCTTATATACAGTGTGTTGTACAATCATATACTCTCATAGAATATCTTATATACAGTGTGTTGTACAATCATATATTCTCATAGAATATCTTATATACAGTGTGTTGTACAATCATATACTCTCATAGAATATCTTATATACAGTGTGTTGTACAATCATATACTCCCATAGAATACCTTAGTGTGTGGTTCAATCATATACTCCCATAGAATATCTTATATAGTGTGT